AAGTTATTAAAAATCAGTTTTCCTGTAGAGAAAATGGATGGCATGGTTACCTCCGGGACCCGACTGTTGCTCTCTATAGGCTCCTCTGAGATCTGACTGACTTACATTAATAATAAAAATATGTCCTAAGGGGCTGAATTTATACTCGACATAACAAAAAAAGGAAAAACCGCTATTGATTTATTCACTGCTCTAAAACAAGAAGACGTCACAAAAAAAAAAAAAAAAAAAAAAAAAAAACCACTCCTATTGTAATCATAGCGGAGAGGCGAAACAAAAATTGCTGCGTTCTCATTAATTCACAGTGTGCCTGCTATTTGGGTAATTTACTGAGAAACATCAAGTTTAAAATAAAAAGGCATTTTTAAGGATTTGCTCTAGAGTTGTGCACACTAATGAAAGCTGTTCACAGCGAGATTGTCTCATTTGCTCTCGTGCCCTAGGAGGGCTGCCACTGGCAAATTGATATCAACACAAATGACATTAAGTTACAAGGCGGCATTGTCCTCGGCAGTCAGACAAACGACAGGGAGGACGGATGGAGTCGCCTCGTGTGAATACGGGATCGATCTTACGGTCACATCGGGGGAGCGAAAGAGGGTTAGAGGAAGAGCAGAACGGATTGATTTAGGCTGATATGTGCTTAATTAAGAAGAGGAATCTTCCACAGATGGGCTCACGGTTCCTCGCCGCCTGCCTGTGTTATTATAAGTCAGCTTCAGTGCTTCCACACCTTCTGTAGGCCTATTCAAGTGCGGGGAAAACAGAGGCAGTATTGACTCAATACAGACGAGACTATCCTCTAATTAGCGAGAGAATTCAAGAAAAGAACAATGAGGCCCAGGTAGAGCCGCAGTCACAACTGCTGGCTGGAATTTACAAGGATAAAAAGCTCACGAGGATGAAAAAGGGGGAAAAGGGACGCTGACGTGCCATGATGCTGACCACAAAACATGGGCCAACATGAGCAGAAAAATCAATAGGAGTGGTGTAGCTGGCTCCCCGAGGTGTTCACAAACCGCGGTAATGCCTGCAGAGCAATGAAGTCACTAGCTATGTTTCCATCCAAAGATTCGAATTAAACTTATGCGCAAAACTGGAATATCGCATAAAACATAGGCTATGCGAATAAAGCACCGTTTCCATCCAACGAGTCAAAGACAACAAAATCGTCACTTCCTGGTAAACTGTGGCACTAAATATCACTAAGAATTTAAGAGAAGCCACTGAATATTATAATTTCCATATATGATATAAATTAGCTACTTGCACCTCAGAGCGAGCAGACGAAACACAATAAATGCTGTCAATGCTTTCGGAGGTGGATGCTGCTGTTTGGGAACGCAGTCGTATAACAATTATACAGAAATACTTTGACGACAGACTTTTCTCAGGCATTTCAGAATGAACATAACATATAGATGCTCTGAACGAGATCGGTCCGCTGCTAGTCAGGTTATCCCGTCTCATAGCGCAAAGTCGCATGACTTTTTCAATGCGCTTAAAGGAATTTATTCAGTAAATGTGTTTCCATCGTAGTTTATGCGCATTTTTTCTTATCGGATAAAAAGTTTATCCTACTCAAATGTGTGCATACATTTTTTTTAATGCACATTTTTAGAATTTATGCGCATCTTGGCGTTTCCATCCAGCGGTTTTTTATGAGATGGTCCTCACTGCAGAACACAAGATCCAGGGGGCGTGGATCCAGATCCAACTCCTCCCACCTTACATATACCTAAACCCACCCATCTCCACCCCAGAGGCGTGTTCACGTGGTGGCCAGGGGTGGCACCGGCCCCCCCTGAAATTTGGCTGGCCACCCCAGGTGCCCCCCCTACCAGATGTCTTGCCATAGGCTTGTTTTTAGTAAATTTAAAATTGTAGGCGGTTTCTATAGTGTGATCTTAATGACAATGGCGCAAATAATGTTACGCGATCCATGTGCGCGAGGACGAATCTCTCCACTCCCAAGCGGATTTCCTTCACTCACACAAAACTGGACGTGTGCTTTTAACATGCATCGTTCCGCAAACACAACCCCCCCCCCCTCATTTGAGTCAGTGCCCCCAACTGGCTCCCCCATTTAAAATGCTCTAGACACGCCCCTGCTCCACCCCTAAACCTACCAATCTCCACACCCTAGATGTGAATCCAACCACGCCCCCTGGATCTTGTGTTCTGCAGTGAGGGGCTTCTGTTTTTTCTACGATATTCCAAAATGCGCATAGATGGAAACGCAGCTACTGTCTCTGTCAGCAGCAACAAACACACTCCGACCTTCAAGCTGGAAGACATTTCCATTTCATGTTTGCATTAGCGGGGAAAAGGGACGCTGACGTGCCATGTTGCTGACCACAAAACATGGGCCAACATGAGCAGAAAAATCAATAGGAGTGGTGTAGCTGGCTCCCCGAGGTTTTCACAAACTGCGGTAATGCCTGCAGAGCAATGAAGTCACTAGCTATGTTTCCATCCAAAGATTCGAATTAAACTTATGCGCAAAACTGGAATATCGCATAAAACATAGGCTATGCGAATAAAGCACCGTTTCCATCCAACGAGTCAAAGACAACAAAATCGTCACTTCCTGGTAAACTGTGGCACTAAATATCACTAAGAATTTAAGAGAAGCCACTGAATATTATAATTTCCATATATGATATAAATTAGCTACTTGCACCTCAGAGCGAGCAGACGAAACACAATAAATGCTGTCAATGCTTTCGGAGGTGGATGCTGCTGTTTGGGAACGCAGTCGTATAACAATTATACAGAAATACTTTGACGACAGACTTTTCTCAGGCATTTCAGAATGAACATAACATATAGATGCTCTGAACGAGATCGGTCCGCTGCTAGTCAGGTTATCCCGTCTCATAGCGCAAAGTCGCATGACTTTTTCAATGCGCTTAAAGGAATTTATTCAGTAAATGTGTTTCCATCGTAGTTTATGCGCATTTTTTCTTATCGGATAAAAAGTTTATCCTACTCAAATGTGTGCATACATTTTTTTTAATGCACATTTTTAGAATTTATGCGCATCTTGGCGTTTCCATCCAGCGGTTTTTTATGAGATGGTCCTCACTGCAGAACACAAGATCCAGGGGGCGTGGATCCAGATCCAACTCCTCCCACCTTACATATACCTAAACCCACCCATCTCCACCCCAGAGGCGTGTTCACGTGGTGGCCAGGGGTGGCACCGGCCCCCCCTGAAATTTGGCTGGCCACCCCAGGTGCCCCCCCTACCAGATGTCTTGCCATAGGCTTGTTTTTAGTAAATTTAAAATTGTAGGCGGTTTCTATAGTGTGATCTTAATGACAATGGCGCAAATAATGTTACGCGATCCATGTGCGCGAGGACGAATCTCTCCACTCCCAAGCGGATTTCCTTCACTCACACAAAACTGGACGTGTGCTTTTAACATGCATCGTTCCGCAAACACACAAAACAAGGTCTTTGAGGCCTTCAGATGTTGTCTAGATTGTCCAAACACTAGGTTTTGGAAAAGAGTACCAAAAATATCATGTTAAGACGTTCAAAAGATTAAGCGGAACTTTTATTCATCTTAATATAGGATGCGTTAAACTTCATTTTGTGTTATTTAGCATCCAGTTCACCATGCTTTTTAATAATTTTAGACCACTGATTTGTCCAACATCGCCTATCGACTCTGGCGTGGACAGCAGTCGAAGCTTCAGAGTTCAAACGACAGTTCAAATCAAACGCTCTCACATTGGGAAAGGTGTGTGAAATACAGCTGCCTACATCAATCCTTCGTTTGATGTTCTATGGAAATCCCCATACGATATCTGCAAGAGTCCTCTACAAGGTCATAACACAGAAAACAACAAACCATTGGAGAGACAGAAGGTGGGTAAAGCCGATGGGCAAATCCCAATCAGCCGAAAGCATAAGAGCAGTGATACAGGAAATCAGAAGGATGAAACAGGAAATCTATTATCCATTAGCTGTTTGAAATCTCAGGCTCTGCCGATGAACCTCGGTCCCAGATGGAAGCTCTGTGTTCTTTAGAGTTTGCTGAAGCAGAAAAACACCTTGAGCTTGTGCTATGAAGAGCTCAACCAAAGTAAGGCAACATTAAGACCTGCATTTCTCCTTCCCGAGCTTTTGACCGTGCCCATAAATTTACAATTCTCTGGGTGTTTAGCATCTAAATGAGCTACACTTTGGTGGAACAGTTCGCTGAAGTCTTGAAGGAAACATAAAAGGATGGAGGCACGGCAAAGGCTAGGAATATTCACGCTCGCTTGAGCCCGTCATAAACGCTCAGATATCCCTGGTCCGGAATACTTCCCAATTACAATTACCGTTTAACCTTTCAAGTAAACTCTGCATTTCCTTGGGAAAATCCTTGGTTCCTCGCATCTCAAACTAAGAACAAACTTACCATGACAGCGGGAGAGTCTTCAAACGTCCCACCACAGCAAGATTGCATTATGTGTGCAAATACAGGTCTTACTGAACAGAGACAAACCCATGAATAATTCAACCGGCTCACTGCACCTGGAGGAATAACAATGAGCTTCCTACTTTTCCGCCGTTATGATCCTTATTAGAGGTCCAATTGGCTGTCATGGAGCTTAATCTGTAAAATACACACAATTTATATATACATATATTAGCTGCGTTTACATAAAAACACAGTATAAGTCATTATTATCAGCATATGTCCCCACTAGATGCAACAAATGCCTCGTTTGTAATGGGTTTTATTGGTTTTGTCTCGTCGCGCCGGGACACAGGGCATCACAGTATGGTAAGGGGCGTAATATTTCCGTCACACGCTTGAGGTATTCAGCCAATCATGACGCACTGGATAGCTGGCCAATCAGCATATACCTCGCTTTTCAGAACGATGAGCTTTGTAAAAATCCACGCGTTTCAAAAAGGCAGGGCATAGAGGAGAAACAATAATGTACATTATGTGGAAAATAATGTGTTTTTTGAACCTTAAACCGCATAAACACATTTCATTACACCAAATACACAAAATAATGTTCTTTTTAGCAACATCATATGACCACTTTAATCTAAATCGGGAGTTTGTATTCGTAAACCCAGAGAGGTTAAGTGTAAAAGTGCAAATGGTGGGGATGGAGTGAAGGGCGCAGCGTTAGAGCTGTGAGACTTTCCTGGGAATGGGTCGGGGTCTGGGAAACTGGTCTGGTCGGCGCGGCTCAGTGTCTTGCCTTCGAATCTGGTGCGGTTTGGGAGGAATAGGTGGCGCGTCGATGCTTGGAGGAATCGACAGGCTCGGTGGAAGTGGGACCTGTCTGCGGGGGTTGTTCCGATCGTGTATGCTGTAGGGAGGCGGGGTTTTGTTCTCCCGTCGAATGAGCTCATCTGATCCACTGGAGGCGGAGTTTGGGAGAGCGTGGTCAGTGGGCGTGTTCTCAGTTCCGGAGGCCTCAGAGACGCTGCAGCGACTGAGAGACGAGATGCCACTGCTGTAGCTTCCGGAAAGCACCGGAGAATTCGACACCAACCCTGTCGACTGGCACTCTGTGGGTGAGGGGGTGAACGGAGGCACAGAGGTCTGCGAATACAAGATGAGAGAAAACAAATGTAGTTAGCAAAAGATAAGTTATCTCATTCTGCTAGCAGAAACCCTTAATAAAGAAAGCATCAGCTGCAACAGAAGCAACGTCCCGCCTCACAGAGCTAATCTGAAGACCAAAGCACAATATTCTGCAATTTTGGCTCCATTATTTCAAGGCAATACTCTCTCTTTTCATTATGAAAATAATTTCTAGGCAATTAAATCCGCAACTAAGACTGCAGCTGTTTCTAGGACTTAATTTCACTGAATAAAGCGTATTTAGTCTGATTGCACTCTTGAGAGAACTTCAAACACATTTCCGCTAGGATAATTCAGCTTTGTGCAGCAACTACAAACAAAATACACAGTTGTGAATGGTGTATCTCAATAACAGGGTTTAAATGTAAAAAATAAATAAAAAATTATATATATATATATATATATATATATTTCAACTGAATTATATTGGATATTTAATTGTGCAAGCTTATTTTCTAATAATAACTAAACACAGCAATATGGAATTCTCAGAATCAACATCCATTTTTCATATTGTACATTATAATGATGTGATGCCTAAATTCACTTTTTAGTGTTTTGCTTTATTTATTTAGACAAAATAATGTAGAATTTGAATATTGACCATTTATTAGTTAGCCACCATAACCTGAATATTTAGCATTAGTCTCAGACAATCCACTGTTATCCGACTGCCTATTTCAAACATAAAATGCAATCTTGTTTTGAAGATTTCAGACTATCCAATTCAAACTGGATAGCGTAAAATATCCTGGACCAGAATGGAAATTTGCGCTGGTCGATGTTGGTTTTTCCAGCTGTGACTGACTGTAGAATCTGTACTTGTGTGTGTGTGTGTTTGGTCATGCGTGTGTGTGATATGTCACAGTATAGCTTCAGGCATGAGACTATTTCTGAGGCAAACAACCGTACACAGGTGGTCACACAGGTTATGCTTTCCCTTTCCGACACACTGACTGCACTTCCTTCAGGAAATTCACCAGCATTCCTGCTGAGATCTCTTTCCATCCGAATCTCTCCCTCTCTGCTTTGTTCTTAGTAGCTTGACAGATTTCAGCATTTCTGATTTCCAGGAGGAGGAATGATTTGATTTCTATGCAGTCATCTACACTTTATATGTGAACAGTTTCCTTTCTTACATGGGATAGACTCTAGATTTTTATACGGTGTGTGTTTCTGAATACCAGGTGACGGATCAATACGTGGCACAAGACAAGAATTCAGGGAAATGAGATGCGCTGGTGTTGAGTAGGAGTTTCTGAGAAGCCATTACAGCGGTGTTCTGCTTTAAGGACTGTTACTCTGAATGAGGAGAATGTGCTTTTATTTAAAACCTGAATACACTGCAACACCGATAGCAGCAGCTCCAACCTTTTTTAAGGTCTGTGACCATTTTTGACTGTTATGCCCTTTGAAAGAAAAATACTGTGGTTTCTTCAATACAGATACCTGCGTTTTCAGTGTCATTTTTTCTTCACTGTATTGGTATCGTACATAAACACAGTGTTGGACTCAAAAATGATATTACTAAATGTAATGATATTACATACTAAGGTTCAAAGGTTTGGGGTCTGTATGATTTTTTTTTAATTTCTCTTTTGCACCACCAATGCTGTATTTATTTGATAAAAAATACAGTAAAAACAGTAATATTGTGAAATAGTATTACAATTTAAAATAGTTGTTTTCTATTTGAATATATTTTAAAATGTAATTTTTTTTTGCGATGCAAAGCTAAATTTTCAGCATTATTACTCCAGTCTTCAGTGTCACATGATCCTTCAGAAATCATTCTAATATGCTGATTAGCTGCTCAAGAAACATTTATGATTACCATCAATGCAGAAAACAGTTGCGCAGCTTCATATTTTTCTGGAAACTGTGATAATTTATTTACAATTTTTTAAGAGAAAGTTCACAAAAACAGCATTTTGTAAAATTATTTTCCTGTCACTTTCGATCAATTTAATGCATCCTTGCTAAATAAAAGTATACATTTCCAATATCTTTGAACGGTAGTACATATATATTTGCTGCAGCAATATATGTGTGCCACCATTGAGATTGAGGACTTTTAGATGGGTTAGTGATTTCTGGAGGATCTGCAGTGGATCGCTGCCAACCCAACTGCTCAGGACTGGCGTGGATCTGTCTAATCGTGGGCCCAGTTGGATTGACTTGAGTCTGACCCAGTTTAGACGGCCTGGATTGAGTCCCCAGACACTACAGTAAACATCCACACCAGTAAACACATCAAAGGTCACTTCACAAAACACCCCAGACAACAAGAAAAGGTCAAACCTTCTGCGGCGAGCGTGATGTCATCACGGGGGACTGTGATCGTGTAGTCTTGGCAGGAGATCCTATTAAAGGACACAAAAAGTCAATCTTCTTCGCTTGATACAGAAGCCTGGGACAGTAAACACGGTCACGGCTGTCTATTAATCAGGGAAACGCTTTGTCAAGGTCGCTCGGATAATGCAAAACAGTTTAACCATTCGGCACAGTACCAGTTCTTTTCTAGGAAGCTCAATTAGAGTCCACAGATATAGACCCTTAAAAGGGTCGTATCATACTTTTTTATAATGCAATTTGTTCCCTGAGGTCTACTTGTAATGTTAGAGAAGTTTTGGAGTGTCAAAAAGAGTCATAATTTAGTTTTTCATGACCATTTCCCCATCCACTCTCTGACCCTTTCTATTTAACGGACCATTTTTGCTACAAGTTTCACCTTTTTTTTGTTGGGATAAACTGATCAAGAAGTTGCACTATTTATATTCCTAAAAGGTACTTCATAATAATCATGATAATAATAACTCCTGTTATTATTATAAATAACATTATATAATAATAATAATAAGAGGTAGTATTAATTATTATTTATTTATAAGCTAAAATAAAAATGTCAAATAAGTTACTGTATGTTTCAGTTTGATCTGAAAGTCACTTCATAATAATACGAATAATATCTATATTATATAATATACATTATTATATATATATTACTATTATATTAATAATAACTGTTTTTATATTATATATAGTATTATACCTAATAATTACTATTATTAGTTTTATTGTTTATAAAAACAAATTAATATACAAATAAAATCATATAAAAACAATACAAATTTTAAATAAACTAGTTACTGTAGTAGTTCTAGTACTGTAGTTCATCATCATCATAATAGTATTATATTAATGTATAAAAATAATACGAAATATTACATAATACTAGTTATAGTTGCTATAACTGCTATATTTATAGTAGACTATATATAATATGAAATATAGTAAATATACTAGCTATAAATATAAATTTGCGCTGGTCGATGTTGGTTTTTCCAGCTGTGACTGACTGTAGAATCTGTACTTGTGTGTGTGTGTGTTTGGTCATGAGTGTGTGTGATATGTCACAGTATAGCTTCAGGCATGAGACTATTTCTGAGGCAAACAACCGTACACAGGTGGTCACACAGGTTATGCTTTCCCTTTCCGACACACTCACTGCACTTCCTTCAGGAAATTCACCAGCATTCCTGCTGAGATCTCTTTCCATCCGAATCTCTCCCTCTCTGCTTTGTTCTTAGTAGCTTGACAGATTTCAGCATTTCTGATTTCCAGGAGGAGGAATGATTTGATTTCTATGCAGTCATCTACACTTTATATGTGAACAGTTTCCTTTCTTACATGGGATAGACTCTAGATTTTTATACGGTGTGTGTTTCTGAATACCAGGTGACGGATCAATACGTGGCACAAGACAAGAATTCAGGGAAATGGCAAGAACTGTAATTACCAACATGAGATGCGCTGGTGTTGAGTAGGAGTTTCTGAGAAGCCATTACAGCGGTGTTCTGCTTTAAGGACTGTTACTCTGAATGAGGAGAATGTGCTTTTATTTAAAACCTGAATACACTGCAACACCGATAGCAGCAGCTCCAACCTTTTTTAAGGTCTGTGACCATTTTTGACTGTTATGCCCTTTGAAAGAAAAATACTGTGGTTTCTTCAATACAGATACCGGCACAAGACAAGAATTCAGGGAAATGAGATGCGCTGGTGTTGAGTAGGAGTTTCTGAGAAGCCATTAACAGCGGTGTTCTGCTTTAAGGACTGTTACTCTGAATGAGGAGAATGTGCTTTTATTTAAAACCTGAATACACTGCAACACCGATAGCAGCAGCTCCAACCTTTTTTAAGGTCTGTGACCATTTTTGACTGTTATGCCCTTTGAAAGAAAAATACTGTGGTTTCTTCAATACAGATACCTGCGTTTTCAGTGTCATTTTTTCTTCACTGTATTGGTATCGTACATAAACACAGTGTTGGACTCAAAAATGATATTACTAAATGTAATGATATTACATACTAAGGTTCAAAGGTTTGGGGTCTGTATGATTTTTTTTTAATTTCTCTTTTGCACCACCAATGCTGTATTTATTTGATAAAAAATACAGTAAAAACAGTAATATTGTGAAATAGTATTACAATTTAAAATAGTTGTTTTCTATTTGAATGAATTCAGGGAAATGGCAAGAACTGTAATTACCAACATGAGATGCGCTGGTGTTGAGTAGGAGTTTCTGAGAAGCCATTACAGCGGTGTTCTGCTTTAAGGACTGTTACTCTGAATGAGGAGAATGTGCTTTTATTTAAAACCTGAATACACTGCAACACCGATAGCAGCAGCTCCAACCTTTTTTAAGGTCTGTGACCATTTTTGACTGTTATGCCCTTTGAAAGAAAAATACTGTGGTTTCTTCAATACAGATACCTGCGTTTTCAGTGTCATTTTTTCTTCACTGTATTGGTATCGTACATAAACACAGTGTTGGACTCAAAAATGATATAGAGAGACAACATGAGTGAAATATACTAAGGTTCAAAGGTTTGGGGTCTGTATGATTTTTTTTTATTTCTCTTTTGCACCACCAATGCTGTATTTATTTGATAAAAAATACAGTAAAAACAGTAATATTGTGAAATAGTATTACAATTTAAAATAGTTGTTTTCTATTTGAATATATTTTAAAATGTAATTTTTTTTGCGATGCAAAGCTAAATTTTCAGCATTATTACTCCAGTCTTCAGTGTCACATGATCCTTCAGAAATCATTCTAATATGCTGATTAGCTGCTCAAGAAACATTTATGATTACCATCAATGCAGAAAACAGTTGCGCAGCTTCATATTTTTCTGGAAACTGTGATAATTTATTTACAATTTTTTAAGAGAAAGTTCACAAAAACAGCATTTTGTAAAATTATTTTCCTGTCACTTTCGATCAATTTAATGCATCCTTGCTAAATAAAAGTATACATTTCCAATATCTTTGAACGGTAGTACATATATATTTGCTGCAGCAATATATGTGTGCCACCATTGAGATTGAGGACTTTTAGATGGGTTAGTGATTTCTGGAGGATCTGCAGTGGATCGCTGCCAACCCAACTGCTCAGGACTGGCGTGGATCTGTCTAATCGTGGGCCCAGTTGGATTGACTTGAGTCTGACCCAGTTTAGACGGCCTGGATTGAGTCCCCAGACACTACAGTAAACATCCACACCAGTAAACACATCAAAGGTCACTTCACAAAACACCCCAGACAACAAGAAAAGGTCAAACCTTCTGCGGCGAGCGTGATGTCATCACGGGGGACTGTGATCGTGTAGTCTTGGCAGGAGATCCTATTAAAGGACACAAAAAGTCAATCTTCTTCGCTTGATACAGAAGCCTGGGACAGTAAACACGGTCACGGCTGTCTATTAATCAGGGAAACGCTTTGTCAAGGTCGCTCGGATAATGCAAAACAGTTTAACCATTCGGCACAGTACCAGTTCTTTTCTAGGAAGCTCAATTAGAGTCCACAGATATAGACCCTTAAAAGGGTCGTATCATACTTTTTTATAATGCAATTTGTTCCCTGAGGTCTACTTGTAATGTTAGAGAAGTTTTGGAGTGTCAAAAAGAGTCATAATTTAGTTTTTCATGACCATTTCCCCATCCACTCTCTGACCCTTTCTATTTAACGGACCATTTTTGCTACAAGTTTCACCTTTTTTTTGTTGGGATAAACTGATCAAGAAGTTGCACTATTTATATTCCTAAAAGGTACTTCATAATAATCATGATAATAATAACTCCTGTTATTATTATAAATAACATTATATAATAATAATAATAAGAGGTAGTATTAATTATTATTTATTTATAAGCTAAAATAAAAATGTCAAATAAGTTACTGTATGTTTCAGTTTGATCTGAAAGTCACTTCATAATAATACGAATAATATCTATATTATATAATATACATTATTATATATATATTACTATTATATTAATAATAACTGTTTTTATATTATATATAGTATTATACCTAATAATTACTATTATTAGTTTTATTGTTTATAAAAACAAATTAATATACAAATAAAATCATATAAAAACAATACAAATTTTAAATAAACTAGTTACTGTAGTAGTTCTAGTACTGTAGTTCATCATCATCATAATAGTATTATATTAATGTATAAAAATAATACGAAATATTACATAATACTAGTTATAGTTGCTATAACTGCTATATTTATAGTAGACTATATATAATATGAAATATAGTAAATATACTAGCTATAAATATACTATATAATAATTAGTTATGAAATGTAATAACAGTAATTTATCATATTGAAATTAATATAAAAATAATACAAATATGATAAAAAAAAAAACACTAGTTATAGTTTATATTAAAATAAATAAATACACACATACATACAACGAAAGACAATGCAGAAAAGACAACGCAGACCAACATCTGAAAGGTAATGAAGCAGCAACGTGCAGACTGAGGTTTAAATACACGTCATGCAGTTTAAAGACATAAATGCTGCAAGAAAGCTCATCAAGAACAATTATAAACAAAAGAGTGTGTGGGAAGGATCCCGTTGGTTAGATGATGTGCCTTTTCTCATTAAATATATGGAGAGATTATCTTCAAATTCTCACTGATGTGTCCAACCAACAGCCCTCATGATGCAGAGAGACGAAGAAGTTAAGACGAACGAGAAACCAGGAGACTTTAGAGCGGAAGAGTGGAAGATCTGAGAGTTAAAAGCCTTGGGAAACATCTATGTGAGTCTAAAGGATCGGTCGGAGGAGATTTCTTTCTTTACCTGAGTACGGTGGTCTAGGAGGGACAGGGGGACACTTTCCATTAAAATCAGAGAGCGGCATGTCTAGACTCCAGCTACTTGGTGCGGGCTTCACCACTTTCACACACAAAACATGCATTTCAGGTACATATATAGGAAATATATCAAACGAAGAAAGAAAAATGTGATTTTTTTGGATCATTAACATATATTTTCCATTTAATGTCTTATATGGAAAAAATATCCCAAAAATATTCAATATTCAAAACCTTCTAGACATCCCCCCCCCCCAGTCAATGTACCCACTACGAGTTAACCGTTGATTTAAATAACTTAGATGAACAGATTAAATAAAGATGATGAAATCTCCTCAGGCCAGTGGATTCGACGAAGGAGCGTCCGGCGGGCTTGCGGCTACCACATGTGACGACCCCGAGCTGGACTCCGCTTCGTCCACGGGTTATGTTTATATATTAAATATACAGTGTCGTGAAAAGGTTTTTGCCACCTTACCGTTTTTTTTTTTGCATATTTGTCACACTTAAAAGATTCAGATCATCAAACAAATTTTTATATTACACAAAGATAACGCAAGTAAATCGAAAATGCAGTTTTTAAATGATGATTTCATTTATTAAGGAAAAAAAGCTGCCCAAACCTGCCTGGCACTACTTAAAAAAGTAATTGCCCCCTTAAATCTAATAACTGTTACTAAAACTAATAAGTTTCTTGTAATGAGGACTTTCTTGTAATCAAAACTTTATTTCTCATAATTGAGATTATTATACTTTGTGAATTAACAGAATTCGCATTCCCCAGAATCAGCAGCAAATTGTAAATGGGAGGAAAATTCAATTATGAAAAATCAAGTTTTAATTATGAGAAATAAAGTTCAATTTAAATTTGGGAAATAGTCTTAATTCTGTTAATTACTGTTAATTAAATTGTGAAGTCAGCAGATTTGACCTGATGATGTTGCTCAGTCTTCTGCGTAGATACTTTACCTCACTAATAGTTTCCACAAAATCTATTTTACATGGTCATTTTTAAAGATGACCATGTTAATGCAAATCTTACAATATAAGGTGTTTGAACACAGTTGTGTGGCTGCAGTGTGTGAAAACAACCAGCCTATGATGGTAAAAATCCACCCACTCATTTTTTTATACTCCCAATAAATCATAAACAGTCTCTCAGAACAAGCGATTCCAGATTCTCCCTACGTACACGTCATTGTAGGGAGAAATCCCCGCCCATTTGTGACGGTCTCTGCCCTATAAGAATAAGCACTAGGGGTGTAACTATACATGCATTCGTACTGAATAGTCACGGTAGCCCACTAGACAGTGACCATGTGTTGATTCTGAACACGTCTCTCACTGACAAAGGAGTATACTTTAAAGGCTTGCACACTCAACTGTTTGCGAAATGGAGCTTTGTGCTCGTGTATCCTACCTCTCTCATTCGGCACAAATCCAAATATTATAATATTTATTAATAATATAATTTATATAATAATATATTAACATAATATTTCCATATTTGCGATGTATCTCAATGCTAAACTATTATTTATTATGTAAATTATAGGCTTTGTATTTCTGTCGCGTTCCAACGGTGACACAGAGGCGGGCGCGCTGATGTTTGATTCACTGTATTTTATTTTGATAAAGTACCAACTGCGTAGTCAAGTTAGCAATGCTGGAACTGATATGTTTTGTGTGTGTGTGCACTGGTGCGATCACTTCAACTGTTTACTTATATCAGCAGAATCAACTTAAAACACTCCGTCATTTATTGTCTTATTAATAATGCATCACTGTAAAAGGTCTGCTTTTATTTGTGTACACTCACAATGAAAACAAAACATTGTGCTTTTGTAAAATAAAGAAAACAAAAAGGATGGCGCTTTCTGGCATTTGAGTTTCCTTTCTGTGAACAAATTAAGCATGTCACAAAAATGAGCTGAAACTCAGCATACGTTATGTGTCGCACTGTTTTCCCCCTTGTTTATCTGTTAACTAAATCAAATATGTCAAGAAAGTATTCCTTATATGTATATATGTACTGCAGATTATATATATATATATATATATATATATATATATATATATATATATATATATATATAAACATTATAATTTTATATAATATTTAGTATTTTCACATCTAGGTGGAAACATTTTCAATTTGTACTACTGTCTGTTCAAAATAAATGAAAAGAAACCTAGCATAGTAGATTTGTTTTTTTTTTCCTGTTGTATCAAAATCATATCGAACCTTGACCCCCGAACCGAGGTACGTACCGAACCGTCTGTGTACTGTTACACCCCTAATAAACACAGCCCTGAGTGAGAAGCAGCAGTCCGCCATTACTGTTTTCTTGCTGTAGCTGCTGCAGATATACACTATTAGCGCCAAAGAGGCATTACAAGTGTCATGTGTTGAGAACACAGGAGTCTCCTATAGACTCCCTCCATCTGAGCCACTAAGGACACTGTGGTTAAGTTTCATTTTCAAAGGAAATCTACTGAAAAAATATCGATAACGTCATGCCAATAATTTTACACCGGACTGCCTCAAAAACAAGGGTCATTTCAACGCTGGATTTTCACAGTCTGATTCTGAAAGAGGGATCAATACCAACGCTTCGTGCGTGAACATCAGATCCAGACAAAGAGAGCGCTATATTATAGATATTTTTTTCAAATTGCCTTTCTGAAAGAGCTTCTTGGCTCTCAGTAAGGCTAATGTTGCTAAAGCTACCATTGTCTCTGCCTGTTTTCACTGGTGCTGCCTTCACGTGCTACCAGAATCATCGTAAATAGGAATGTGGTAGTTAAAAATTAGCGCCAAAGAGGCATTACAAGTGTCATGTGTTGAGAACACAGGAGTCTCCTATAGACTCCCTCCATCTGAGCCACTAAGGACACTGTGGTTAAGTTTCATTTTCAAAGGAAATGTCCCGTAAAAAATCTTTAAAGCCTTATATAGATATATATTTATTTTAAAAAAGGAATCAACACCAACGCTTCGTGTGCAAACGTCAGCTCCAGACAAAGTAAGTGCGTCATATTTTGTTTTCCAAATTGCCTTTCTGAAAGAGCTTCTTGGCACTCTGTAAGGCTAATATTGCTAAAGCTACCATTGTCTCTGTCTGTTTTCACTGATACTGCCTTCACGTGCTACCAGAATGATCGTAAATAGGAATGTGGTAGTTAAAAATTGCATATGAAAGTAATATGACAATATGCATATGACATTTTAGTGCATGAGATTGTTTGTTATTGTCAGTATGCCGGAGCATGAGCTCCTAAAGCTCCGCCCTCTTCTGAAAAGGGGGCCAGAGCAGCAGCTCATTTGCATTTAAAGGTACAAACACAAAAATTTAGCATTTTGGCTCATACCCTAAGGCCATGTCCACACGAACGTGATTATTTTGAAAACCGCAGCCTTTCTATGCGGTTTGGCCATTTGTCCACACGCAAATGCTGCACCCGGTTACTGAAACAGAACATTTTTTAAAACTCCTGCCAGAGTGAAGATTTTCAAAAACTCCGGTTGCAGTGTTATCGTGTAGACAGCAAAACCGGAGATTTTGGCTTGTGACGTCGGAGCATGCTCTGTTATCTCCGCCTACTGGAAAATTTTTCAGGCTTCTGATTGGCCAACATGGCTTTACGGTTGAGATTATATTGCCACCTGTTGGTTTGGCATGCTCTTGACAGTGCTTCATAGCATGCGTTTGCATTTTCATGTGGACGAAGATTTTCTTTTAAATGGAAGAAGGAAAGACTGTTTATAAAATTACCCATGTACGTGTGAACATGGGCTAAAAGTGGCAACTTTAACAAGCTTTAAAAACTTATCTGTGGGGTATTGAGCTAAACTTTGCATACACACTCTGGGGACATCAGCAAAGTGGGTAACTTATTTTACATCTCGTAAAAAGGGGCATAATAGTTCACCTTTAAGACTCAAATACCAAAAATAAAGTTAAAACTAACAGGAAAAAAGTCACAGTTACTGGAATAAAAGGGCAACTATGACTTTGCATTATAAGAATCACAAATAAGAACAAGTCACAAATAAGAATTATTAATTTTTGTTGTAAAACAGTTTCCGTAACTTCAGTTTTGCATCAACAAGTTATAATTTAGGTTTACTAACCTCTCTCTGACCTTTAGGTAAAAAAATACTTAAAATGAAGTATAAAAATATCACCAAGAATGCTTGGTCGCTGTAAAATTTAACATGCGTTCTTGTGTTGCTGTGCCGGCATCAAACCTCAGTAGCTCTGCTGTGTGAACACCGAAATAAAAGCTTGATATAGACATACTGCAAAGGAGCAAAGGTTTGGAATGGCTGCTCTGAGAGCAGACAGACTCTTCTCACCTCTGGCACTAGACGGAGCCGAGCTGGTCACGTTGGGAGAGGCAGAGTGATTGGAACTGAGACTTGAGGTAGACGGACTTGGCTGGAAAGAGAAGAAAAAAACGTGAGAAACATAGGAAAGAGTCCACAGACTTCTTTGTTGTCAGTCTATAATATGGACAGGTTATACAATAATCATTCAGTCTGGGATAAAAGAAAAAAGCTAAATGATCTGTCCGTCCAGTCTATAATTCACACCTACAAATCCAATTCTCACAGTGAGAGAAAAGACAGAGACAGGAAGATTAAGTGGGGTTGTAAGAGAGACAGATGAAAACAGAAAGAGGGCAATTAGGAGAGAAAAAGAAGCAAAGAAAAAGAACAGAAGAGAAAGAGGGAGATTAGGAGGAAATATGAAAGACAGCGAGAGAACAGAGAGTCTGCCGGTGTGTGTGTGTGTGTGTGTGTAAGTAGTTATCCAATGGCAACAGCCCAAGCACTCACCTGCATGTTGAAGACTTCATCTGAGCTCTCTGATTGGCCCGTGATGTTGCTCACTTCATTGGAGGCCTGCGACGACAGCGAGGATGAAGAGTAGCGGTTGACCGCTGGGTAGCTGAGGGGACTGAATAACATACGATAAAAATGGGGACTTTAACAAGTAGCATATTAATTATTTTATTTTAATGCTGTCATTTTCATGGTGAGAATAAAGTGAATAATGTGAGTCATACAATTAAGAAAAAGCTATATGACATTTAAGATTAATACAAGAGAAAATCTCTAAAATACATTCAGGTGATACTTTGTTAAATCAGTTAAACCTATCTCTAAATAAAAATGTTGTCTATTAAGTAGCAGCATCAAATTTTGGTGAAAATTAGTGTAGAATTGGCTAGACGATTAGTAAAGTTATCATTTTGACATCTAAGAAAAATATTAGCTTCTAATCAGCCAATATGTTGATATTTGTTGCAATTGGCCAATAAACATTTTTGACTGATCAATAAATAATGAGCATGTTCTGCTTTGAAATATTTTGTGTAAATACTGTGTAAACAAATGTTTAATTTCTGCATATTTGTCTTAAATATTATTTTTAAGATTTTGGATTGGTAAAAATGAAAATAAATTATTATTATTATTATTATTATTACTACTACTGTGTAAACAAAGGTTTAATTTCAGCATATTTATCTTTGTGTCATCATTATATTTTATAAAATATAAAAAATATTAAATTTATATTTTATAATACTGATTGTCAATAATTCATATAAATAATATTAAATAAATATAAAATTAAATTAAATATTATCTAAATATTATATTTAGGATTGTGAATTGCTAAAAAAAATGACTATTATTAAAAAATATATTATTATTATTGTTAAAAACATAATATTCTTCATAAAATTATTGCTTTTTGTTGGTTTCGACTGCTCATTTGTAAGTCACTTTGGATAAAAGTGTCTGCTAAATGACTAAATGTATACGTAATATTCATGATCAATATTTTATCATTCATTAGCAGTACTACAACTACTATTACAACTACTACTAATAATAATAATACGACTGCTAATACTATTACTTATAATAATCATAATACTAATCATCATCTTCAATCATAAATCAATTAATTAATAATTAAAGGGGTGGTTGACTGGTTTTTTTCTAGCTTGATTGTGTTTATGGGGTGCAGTCTAACGTGTTAATGCTTCGTTTTTTTTAAAAAGCATTATTTTTCACAATTTATCTTTATTCTACACTGCTCTGTCCCTTCTTCTATAAACGCGTTGATGATATCCTGTTTTTAAGAAGCCCCTCTCTCAGAAATAGGCGATGGGCTCTGATTGGTTAGCTGGTCCAGTGTGTTGTGAATGGCTAAACCGCTTCTAGTGCGCGTATAAGCGTCACGCCGCTCACCTCAGCGGCATGTGCTCCGATTGTATTGCTGCTGCTGTCTCATACTTTTAGATACGCTGTTATTTGTAAATGCTACTGCTTCTATTAGCTTTTAATATACTGTTTTATCCTGATTAAAGCTTTAATACAGTACGGCAACTGCATGTGCGTCCATGTTTAACGCTTCTCATAGCTATGTGAAAATAAGTGTATCATTGGAACAGTTCATTGTTGGAACTGAGCTGAATGAGAGAGAGAGAGAGAGAGAGAGAGAGATGCAGAGCGTGTGCAGAGCAGGGGAGCGTGAGGAACAGGATTAAGAAGCACTGCTTTAGAACATTGATTTTGAACCTTGCGAATCCATTAGAAACGTTAGAAGACAAAATCGCAATTCATATATAAATAGATTTTTTCGTGCTCCCCTAGTTTTGACGGCATGGCAACAACTCTTTCTCTTCTTTAAAGCAGCACAGCATGGCCTCACCCCCTTTGTTGCATGTTCCCGGGGGCGGGTTTATCTGGGTTTGTGATGTCACGAACCCGGGAAGTAACTCGTTGTAGTCCCTACGAGCCGTTTTTGTAGGCATTAAACTGCCTTCATTTTAAAAGACGATATCTCCGTTTGCATTGAACTTTCAGAGTTGTAACTTTGCAGATATTGTTTATGCTCAAACAGTAACATTACACACTAACTAACGTTAAAAAAGTGAAATCGCAATCAACCACCCCTTTAATTAAATCAATTGATTTTGGAGTCAGTGGGAAGAATGCAAGCATATAATGCTATCCACAGAAAGTGAGATAAATGTATTGCATCCAATCACAGTAAATTGCAGAAATTAGCATGCTATTTTTTCCCCCAAACCTACTTATATTACATATATGAACATTGTATCTTCTATTAGCTATCCTGCTCTCTAGATACAAGCACTAGCCACTAAAAAAACCCAAATTGCCGACTCAGACCCGAAAAGAGCTCCTCACCTGCGGCGTGACACCACACGCGCTCCTCCCTCTGGACTCATTATGTTGGGTGCTGAGTTTCTTCCGGCTCGAGGGCTTCCGTTGAAGTGGATCGGACTGGCTCGCACATAGGCTGGAAACTCCTTCAGAGCGTGGGAAAGACAGAAGGATGAGTGCATGACGAACGGCTTGGGAAATCAGAAAGAATCTGACTGCTGATATGCACCTGTATGCCGAGGCTGGATTTCATCAGATGAAACTGATCCACCAGTTTCTTGTGCAGAGGCCGCATGTCCTGAGGAACGAACTTCTCATGCACCGTCAAACCAAACTCCAGTATGTGAGCCTGAAGTACAAACGATGGGTTTTAAAGATGTGAAACGTTCATGACAATGAATTTTAACCTGAGTAATTACGTAAAACAGAATATTTAGTGGCAAATTATGTAGGGGAGAGACATGATTGTATCAACTGAGATTTGAATAGATCATGAAAAGTAGGCTATATATTATTGAGTATTTTCCCACCCACTTTTTATTTTCTTTAAAATAATGCAAGAAATAAAGTCCAAGCTGCAGTATACTGTAAATGTGGGACTCGATTTTGTAAAACAGCCTCAACTGCGAGAAAAACACTTAGGCCCAATCCCAATTCTACCCCTTTGCCCCTCCCCTTTCATTCACGTGAAGGGGTAGGGGTGTCTCGATTCTCTTTGGAGGGGTAGGGGAAGGGGAAAGGCCAGATAGCCCTATAAAAGAAGATTTTTCGGGACCACACTTCAATCAAAGGGGTATGAATTATCTCAGCGTAAACCGGCTACAGCGGCAACATGGCTGCCCGAGCGAACAAAAAGACACGTAAATGTAAGCATTTTTGGCTTAAATAAAGATTTTAACGAAAAGTAATAATTTGTTTTATGTTACATTCCATCGTGAGTTCATATTTACGGTCATGTTACTCAAAGAAAGGTTTGCAAAAAATCATTAAAGTTTGCTAACGTCATATCATCAAAGACTGAACGATAGTGCCACAACATATTTTCATGTCTGATCAGGGCGATAACCACCACAGACATTGAGGAGGGCTAGTACCCCCAATAATTAGAAATCGCTAAACCCTTTCCTCAAATATTGCCAATTCGAGAGAGAGAGAGAGATGAAAGTATGCGCATCTGTGCGTTTCTCTCTTTAGAGTTTACTTCAAAAACAGCGATTTTATCCTCTCATTGCTGGAAAATATAATGTAGCGATTCAGTATTTAAACTGTTATTAATAAAAGTCGTGGGGCAGTGTTGACAAGTTTCTTTGCTCCTGGATGTGTGAGCTGGTAAATGTAAGCATTTTTGGCTTAAATAAAGATTTTAACGAAAAGTAATAATTTGTTTTATGTTACATTCCATCGTGAGTTCATATTTACGGTCATGTTACTCAAAGAAAGGTTTGCAAAAAATCATTAAAGTTTGCTAACGTCATATCAAAGACTGAACGATAGTGCCACAACATATTTTCATGTCTGATCAGGGCGATAACCACCATAGACATTGAGGAGGGCTAGTACCCCCAATAATTAGAAATCGCTAAACCCTTTCCTCAAATATTGCCAATTCGAGAGAGAGAGAGAGATGAAAGTATGCGCATCTGTGCGTTTCTCTCTTTAGAGTTTACTTCAAAAACAGCGATTTTATCCTCTCATTGCTGGACACTTTGTTTCAAGGGACAAGGGGAAGGGGTAGGCGGAGAGGGGAAGGGGTATAAAATAGAATTGGGATTGGATTTAATTGGCATTTATTCGCAAATATTAGAAATAATTGTGACAAAGTCGCTAATATGAGATATATTACACTGTGATAGACTGAATTATGAAAGATAGTTTCAAATACCAGAGTTGCTAAAAGAGAAAAAAAAACTCAATTGTGTTATAATGGAAGAAATAATTTGTCAAAATATGAAGACGAAAATAAGTGAAATGGTCTCAGTAGCGAGAAATAAGTCTCAAATGTGAAAAATAAAGTCGCAATTATCAGAAAAAAAGTCATACTTTTAAGAAATGAAGTCCAAATAGTGAATTAGTCGCAATAGCGAGAATTAAGTCTGAAATGTGAGAAATAAAGTGGGACTTATCCCAAAAAAGGCAAAATTATAAAAAAAAAAATGGAGTACAAATTGTGAAATCCTATCAACAGCGAGAAATAAATCTCAAATGTGAGAAATAAAGTTGTAATTATCCCAAGAAAGGTGCAATTATAAAAATCAAGTTCAAACTATGAAAGTCTCATTAGTGAGAAATAAATCTCAAATGTGAGAAACAAAGTTGCAATTATCCAAAAAAGTCGCAATTATAAGAAATGAAGCCAAAATTGTGAAATAGTCTCAATAGTGAGAAATAAGTCTCAATTGTCAGAAATAAAGTTTCAATTATCAAAAAAAGTTGCAATGTGTAAAACGATCTAAAATGAGTTGATAATGAACATTTTCTGCTTGCATTTATTTAGCATGGATTTTATGTAAACAAAGATCTAACAAATCAAGAGTAATAAGATGAAAGGCATTTATTAAAGCAGCAAACAGGATCCATTTTTATTTCATGTTGTCTTTTAAACAGCTCATTTCATAATTAAATGATCAGCAAAATATTTTCACCCCCTTCAGTCTTTAAAAGTTCACTTTCATGCTTGTAACTGGCTTATATCCATGGTTACGGTCTAGACAACAGCATCATGTGCTCGGCCCTGGAGATTTCTTGGTTACTAAGCAGCACGGGCATGAAGGGAAGAAGTGAGACCAACAGAAACCCAGCTAGTGCAGATCTTAACGGCTAAATCCCAAATGCCGAAACAGACGTGAATGATGCGCGTGAAACATCATAAATGTAAAACCTGGTTTAGATTAGATTTGGTTTCTTGAGACAAACCTGCTCAAACATGAGCTCTCGGAGACGGCCGATTTTGTCTCCGTCTTCGGGGTGATTCATGATGTAGTCCTGTCCCAATTCTTAAGGGAATATTTTCACCCCTACCCCTTGACACTCTGTTTCAAGGGACAAGGGGAAGGGGTAGGCGGAGAGGGGAAGGGGTATAAAATAGAATTGGGATTGGATTTAATTGGCATTTATTCGCAAATATTAGAAATAATTGTGACAAACTGTGACAAAGTCGCTAATATGAGATATATTACACTGTGATAGACTGAATTATGAAAGATAGTTTCAAATACCAGAGTTGCTAAAAGAGAAAAAAAAACTCAATTGTGTTATAATGGAAGAAATAATTTGTCAAAATATGAAGACGAAAATAAGTGAAATGGTCTCAGTAGCGAGAAATAAGTCTCAAATGTGAAAAATAAAGTCGCAATTATCAGAAAAAAAGTCATACTTTTAAGAAATGAAGTCCAAATAGTGAATTAGTCGCAATAGCGAGAATTAAGTCTGAAATGTGAGAAATAAAGTGGGACTTATCCCAAAAAAGGCAAAATTATAAAAAAAAAAATGGAGTACAAATTGTGAAATCCTATCAACAGCGAGAAATAAATCTCAAATGTGAGAAATAAAGTTGTAATTATCCCAAGAAAGGTGCAATTATAAAAATCAAGTTCAAACTATGAAAGTCTCATTAGTGAGAAATAAATCTCAAATGTGAGAAACAAAGTTGCAATTATCCAAAAAAGTCGCAATTATAAGAAATGAAGCCAAAATTGTGAAATAGTCTCAATAGTGAGAAATAAGTCTCAATTGTCAGAAATAAAGTTTCAATTATCAAAAAAAGTTGCAATGTGTAAAACGATCTAAAATGAGTTGATAATGAACATTTTCTGCTTGCATTTATTTAGCATGGATTTTATGTAAACAAAGATCTAACAAATCAAGAGTAATAAGATGAAAGGCATTTATTAAAGCAGCAAACAGGATCCATTTTTATTTCATGTTGTCTTTTAAACAGCTCATTTCATAATTAAATGATCAGCAAAATATTTTCACCCCCTTCAGTCTTTAAAAGTTCACTTTCATGCTTGTAACTGGCTTATATCCATGGTTACGGTCTAGACAACAGCATCATGTGCTCGGCCCTGGAGATTTCTTGGTTACTAAGCAGCACGGGCATGAAGGGAAGAAGTGAGACCAACAGAAACCCAGCTAGTGCAGATCTTAACGGCTAAATCCCAAATGCCGAAACAGACGTGAATGATGCGCGTGAAACATCATAAATGTAAAACCTGGTTTAGATTAGATTTGGTTTCTTGAGACAAACCTGCTCAAACATGAGCTCTCGGAGACGGCCGATTTTGTCTCCGTCTTCGGGGTGATTCATGATGTAGTCCTTCACGAAGAACGCCTGCGCGAAATAAAAGACACACAAACTTACACTCCTTAACCACAATGCATTGTGCCTCGCCAGCCTCCACATGTTTTGTGATGACAGTTAGAATTTACCTTGACATCTTCAGCAAACAATATCATGCCTAGTTTAGACTTGATTAACTTTGTTTTAAGGGACATGAAGTTCTGAAACCAAATAAAGTGCAAGAATGTGAGCTTAAAAACATGCATGTTTTCAGATCTTTTAAGCTAAAGGGGAAGGAGAAAGAACAGACGGTGTATCTGTGTCCGATCTGTTCCAAGGACGATGGACTGGTATCTCCAAAGAAACAGTGGGAGAGCAGAAGTTTCAGGAGGCACAACTCTCAGACTTCAAAGATTCCAGTAGGCAGATTTTTCCATTGCCTCGAATATGACATTTGGCCTGAACACCAGCCGAATGCTACCAGCAGATGGCCATTTCAATTGCAGCTGCACGCTACACCTGCAGATCACTAAAGCCACTCACAATCACAGTGAGTTTTAGTGACAAAGTGGCCGGAAGTCATTGATTTTGGCAACTTTATATTAATTATATTTTAAAATAAAAAAAAAATTTTTGGTCACACTTTATTTTAAGGTCCAATTCTCACTATTAACTAACTACTGTATTAACTATAACTTTGGCCTCAATAAACTCCTAATTTGCTGCTTATAAATAGTTAGGTAGTTATTAAGTTTAGGTGCTGAGTAGAATATGGTCATTCAGAATATGTGCTTTATAAGTACTAATACACAGCCAATATTCTAGTAATACGCATGTTATTAAGCAACTAGTTAATAGTGAGAATTGGTCCCTAAACTTAAGTGAAAGCTTTTTATAATAATAATTCATTATTCCATTTTGTATATATGTTCCAGAATAGTTTCTATTTATATCTTTTAAGTGCATTTTTCCTTGACACTGTCACTTTTAGTATGCTCCCTGCTTTGGATAGATGTATATTATATAGAGCATTTTACAAATACATTTTAATTAAAGTAAAAAAAACTAAAAAGGTTTCTCTTATACCTAATATTGTTTTGCTTTTTTAATTGAATAATTTAAATAATTTGAATAAATGAAATAACTAGATTTAAATGAAATATTTTAAAACTAATATTTCCAGAATTTATTTCGGCTTTGGTACAATGAGAAAAGGTATTTAATTTGGCAAGACATTGTCAGTAACATTTGGCAATAACATTGTCTCATAATATGTACTACTATATGCTATTTTTCGTACATGGTACAAATTGGTTTATGTACATGAAAAAACAAATTCCCAATTTGGGAAAAATTTCTGTCAGTAAAAATTCTACAATCTTTTCAGTGGTGAAAGTTCTGACAGAAGGTTTTACCCAATTTAAGAAACACCACATGACTACCAGCAGATTTTGGTACCCATGATTAGAATGTAACAACATGAAATCAATTTGAAGGTGCATCAGTGTTCCCCTCGGATAAGCACTATTTCATATTTTCATTATAATTTTGACTTCCAAATTTTGCAAAAAATGGCATCTGGACACTCTGTCTTTCACAATGTGTCATAATTTCTCAAACTCAAAATTGGTGGGCGATGTTATGATATAGATAAATCGATTTGGTTTCGATGCCTTCTTAGTTTTGTCATTACCTCTATGATTTTGCTGATACTTTTATCCAAAGTTTTATTTCATGCCTGGGGAAAAAACGATCACCTTGTAGCGCCATACTCTACAATTTGAGTTGCAATATCTTTTGAGAAAGGTTTTTGAGCATTTAAAGGAATAAAAATACCACTGACTTACACACATTTCTCTCAGATTTCTGGAGCTACTCGATTTAATTGCAGCTACCTGCTGCAGTCAAACACCATTTGAATGTGATGAACTCTGGGACAATTACTTGTACATTTGTGAATCATTTTCACAAGAATTTAAGAAATGGGATAAACATACCTCTGCCTTACTAAATGATATTCTCTCTGCACTTCTGGAGAAGGCGCAACTATCAGGAAAGTCTGAAAATCGTTAGGGCGAGCCAATTAAAAGCGAGGGGCTTGCAAATGAGAGGAATTTCAGAGTAGAATTTCCTTGAGGGCTGACCTTAACACGCAGAAATGCGAGTAAATATTAAGGCCAACAGCTGGAACGCTCAATAAACAACTTATTGGCAATGCTGTCATGTTTGCGCTCCAAATATATTAACTGCTGCTCATCCCAGAGCCTCAGCCTCAGGACGCTCAGCCTACATGAAGTGAATTTAGTGCAGATGCACATTCTGGAACACGTACAAACACAAACTCGCCTGTATACGGTCGACTCTCCTCATTAAAGCTGCTCTCTAAGGCTATCAAGGTAAATACTGCAGTGACACTAAAGCGAGGTTGCTATGCAACAAGCGCTCATACGGTCTGGAAAGATCTGTTGTATTCGCTCAGAATATGATTTCTTTGAGATACTATAGATTTTCCCAGGGGTTCACAAGGGGAAAGATTTTTCTTTAAATGCTAGTGTTTCTGTAGTTTATCGGCAGAGTACACAGGGAAGTTACGGCTGAGATATTCTCTTTCGGACAGGCTAACCACGCATTACAACTCCGAAGATATCCCAGAATTCCCTTCGGCCATCTGAAGGCTCTGTGTTCTCTGGCAGAGGACACCGGGAGACAACCTTGAGAGCGTGCGTGTATACATTTTTCAAACCCGAGGTGGTCTTGCATCAGTGAGGACTTGGAATACATATAATATACAACCTCCTGATAGCGAGCGAGACCTCCGTTGACAGCCGCGTCAATGACTCCGTTGAGACACATGGTCAGGGGGTTGATGTTCTGCATCTGCCGGGTTTGACATTGCGTGATCAGCGTCCGCAGTTGCAGGTTCTTGTTCTCGATGACCTCGATAGCATTCTCCAGAGGACTCACCTCCACCTGGGGCCAAAAAAACTGGTTGAAAAAAGCTTTCATTCAATGTTTGGAGAACTTTAGAAGAGCAACAAATTTAGTTTGTAGGCCTGAAACATACCTTATGCAAGCATGGGAGTGTAAAATTCAAACCAGCGCGAGATGCCTGGGAGACTCTGAACAAGCGTTAACGTTGTTCTTTCTACCCACAGACTCTGAAATTCAAAAGCAAATGCTCATTGACACACATCAGAGTTCAACCCGTCAGAGAAAGTCCAAAAGATCCCATAAGGCAAAGCGGTTACAGCATATTCAATGAACGAGTGACTTTCCAACTCCAGTACGTATAATACATATCATTTAATCTACACTTTAAACAGCTCATTCTCAGCAACACAGTCCGCTTATCAAGCCACACTGCTCCACATATTAAATTTCACATTCATAAATTAATTTCCCATCCAGCACAGCCTGAGAATTAACCTGAGCTGGTGCAAGTATAACAGAGGAAGCTCTGTAAGAACTTCAGATGCTTGATTGTGATATTCAAAACCACCTCAGTCCAATACAATCGTATCATCTGGATAGCGTCTCAGCCGAAGTTTACCTCTAAATGAGATTTTCAGACATTATTACTGGGCGGTAAGTGGACCGGGGTGGTGAGTACCCCCGGTGTCTCTGAAAATATAATATCTGGCAGGCTAAACAGTTTATTTCAAACACAGTAACCACCGGAGGTCGGGGGAAATCTAACCCCCGCGGTGGATCGAATCCATGCCGAGGCTGTGATTGTCTATGCTGGATATATTGAGTGAGAGGGGAAGAGAAATGATATTTGGAAGGAGCGCGTCTCTCAGCCCCTAAAACTTTAATTAGCCTCTCTGGACCAAGGCTGTGAATAATGCAGCATGTGAGAGAACACCTGAGCTCTACACACACACACACACACATACACACTGGCCGGCAGACACTGGAAGTGAAGGAATGAATACACAAGAGAGAAGAGGAAGAGTGAAACACAGGAGATGAGAAAAAATTACATCAAAAGAATGCCGAAAAAGATGGAATAAAAAAATCTGTAATAAAAAAACACACACATTATTTACTCACCCGCATTACTTTTTTCTACCGTCTACACTTTTTGAAGAATTTTCTGGTCCGTTTTGATCCATACATTTACAATGAACATGGTCAGGAGTCTTAAAGCTTCAAAATGGACGGTAAAGGCACTATAAAAGGCAGTTCATATGATTCGTGCACTAAATTATAAATCCTAAAAAGGCATACGACAGTTTTATGAAACCGAATCATCAGGATTCTGCCAGATTTACTGAATAGAAACAGTACGTGTTGCACACTAAATTTAAGTTGCTAATCACTGAATAACACTGAAATTAGCTGACCAAATTTGTGACCAAATCATTCAATATTTTCATCCTTAGAAAGCTGTATTTATTTTGGGATAAAGCAACTGCAAAAGTAAATAATGCCAATTTAAATGAATCATTGATCCAGTACACAAAACAGGTCTCAATGAATGAAAACTGGAGTATTCTGATTCGTTCAAATACTGATTCAACAATACATATGCTGCCGTTAACAGCAAACCAGAGGTCTGTTTATCACACAAACCTATCATATCAGAGGGCTTGGAATATAGTCATATGAACAACTTTCATGGTACTTTTATGGTGGTTTTGTATCTTATTTTGAAGCTTAGAAGCTCCAGTCTCCATAACAGAAGCTGCATGGAAAACAGCAGCCAGCACATTTTTCAAAAGATCTCCTTTTGTGTTTCACAGCAGAAAAAGTGTCAGATAGGTTTGGAGTGATATACAGTGGGGAAAAAAAGTATTTAGTCAGCCACCAATTGTGCAAAAATAAATGATGACAGAACTTCAATTTCTGAAAAACGCTCTGGCCACTAGCTCACCTTAAATTCGTTTTCTTTGTCTTTGGTGCCCTTGTGAAACGGGCGGTCGTAGCGAAATCTCCAGATGTGGTTAACCTTATAGAAGCTCTTGATGTTGTCGGGGACGCCGTCGCGCTGCAGGACGTCCTGGCTGTCTGGGATTGGTGTGACAGCATAGATCTGAAGATCTGCATGAAGGTTCGTCAAGAAACATGCAATATGTGTTGCTCGAGCACAAATGCATTTGAATAACTTCTTGAACAACTAGAAGTAATGTTTACTTTTTTAATATCAAATTAATAATTGTATTTAACTTTATTTAAATAATTAATTATTATATTATAAAAAATGCTGGGTTAAATGCAATGCAGCGTTGGGTAAAATATGGACAAACCCAGCGATTGGGTTGTTTTGACCCAGCATTTGGGTTACTACCCAGAAGGTTGGGTTAAATGTTTAATGAGTCAAAAGAACCCAATAGCTGGGTTTGTCCATATTTTACCCAGTGCTGGGTTGTATTTAACCCAGCATTTTTAATATTATATTATAATAACACATTTTGCTTTGGTATCTCCTACTTCACTCTCAGTCCAAATGCAGACAGTACAGTTGGAAATCATCCTCCGCAAATGTTTAAATAACCAACATCTTGTGCCTCACAGACGTGAGGTCTCATCAGCACATAAATATGAATCGAGCAGGGCCGACGTCCAGGAAGGCCAATGATTAATCGCCGGCTTGGATAACAAAACGCTGTGCTCATGTAGTTTGACCGGCCCTGTCTGCTCTAATTGTGCTGAAGAGGACGTCACATATTCACCGAGCTCCTGGCCTCCAGGTACATGTCTCATCAATTGAACAAACGCTCTCCTGCGACCCACCGTCTTCCATGCCTGATATACGTTCTGAGAGGCACGGGATTGATTTTCAGCCACATGGGCATGTATTTAAAGCGGGCAGCTCTGGCCTTCTGCTTGTTCTGAAAAACCTTGTTGTAGTAAGGCCTTCACACATCTCACAAGGCTTCACATATCTCGCACTGCGCACTGACACTGTATAGAGCATATAGAAAATCAGTTTTGTGCATTAAAAAGTGGCTTCTGGGATATTACGCCAAGTTTTTACTTTTCAAATTTATAAAAACGTTATCAGCAATGTGATATTGAGAATTATTACAAAATTCCTCTTCATGAAATTACATAAGGTAGGGTCACATTTACATCCAAATGCTAATTTAATTCACACCAAATGAAACTCAAACCCCAGAAGTTTGATATAAACTGCTTAAATTAGCAGGATTCTGCCAGATTTACTGAATGGAAACATATGTGTTGCACACTAAAGTTTAAGACTTTACTGTTAGGGGTTAGTTCACATTTGTAACTCTTAGTATGAGAAATAATAATGGTGATGACACATGCATTTTTGCTGCTAATAGTAAAATTTGTAAATCAGTTAGTTAGGGCAAACTGACATGAGTTAAAGGAACTAGGACAATAACTACACAATGCAAGAGAACAGCTCTTCAAAAAAAAAGTGCAAGTATAAGACTCTCTGGTGTGCAAGTGTGTGCGTTTGGAAAAGAGAAGAGATGCCTGGAGGATACATTGGGCTTCAGCCTGGTAGATGGTCTGGTCAGGCTGGTTGGCGTGTTGCATTGCGATGGCATGAGGGAACTCATTGAGCATGCGCTGCTGGAACGCCTCCAGACGCTCGTAATCATGACCACGGCACACAAACTCCTTATTCTGTACAACACACACACATATACACACATTCTGGTTAATACTGACACCAAGTGGACTTCAGAGATACTGACAGTGACATCTGGTAATGCTGCAGGATGTCAGGATGACACATACCCGTAGAAAGAAAGGGAACTTCTTGCCGTAGAAGCCCACTCGGAAGAACTCTGGCTCCAGACGCTGTTGGTCCATTATTTTATCATAAAACGAAGCTTCCATCATCTGTGATTTGCAGTCATATAATAAGCAGAAAATACAATTAATACAGTTTTTCAGGTATAGGGACCATATTGTACACATTTGATGCATTTAATTAACTAAAAGTTAAAACTTTCTTGCACTAAAATAATAAAGTTGTAGATGACCATTTCTACATTTTCTGACATTTAATTTTTTTTTACCTTCTAGAGTTACGTACATGACCTCTTATTTGATTGACCAACATTTTTTTCATGTGAAATGATCAACAATGCAGCCAAGTTGCCAATTAGGGGTTGATATGTACTGTAAATGTAGGTAATCTTATGTTAATGAGACTGCTTTCCATGTGTTTCTGTTAATAACTGGCTTAATGCAAACAATAAAAAGTTCTTCTTACATAAAAAGTTTTAACTCACCCTCATTTTGCTAAGGTTTCTGTAGTCATAGTAGGATTCGTACTGGTCCGCTAACTCTCTGCACAGGATGATGCCGTTCTCCCAACACTAAAGGGGTAGAGAGGGGTATTTGAATTCACATGCAGTTTCATAACTCACCAGTAGGAGCCACTAGAGCACCATCAATACTTTGAGAACCAACGACAGGCAAATATGCAAGATTTGGGTGATTTGCAAGATGGTATGAGGAAATCTGGTTGATTTTAATTCAATATATGGTCAAAAATAAATAAATTTTAAAAATAAAATAAAATAAATGAATAAATAAATAAAATGCAGATTATATTTTCCTACAAAATATATATTTATATTAATTTATCTTGGCAATCTTGACATTGAAAAAGAACTGCTACTTATTTTGTTTTAATGATTGAATTTAAAAATATACATTACTATAAATAATTAGCAAAATAAATATAAACTGCTTTTTATTATCTTAAATCTTGGAAATCTAAAATAAAATAAAATTTATATTTTCATACAAAATATATTTAAACAAATTTTCTTTGGCAATCTTGACATTGAGAAAAAAAACTACAGCTACACATTTTGTTTTAATGACTGGAATTAAAAATATGAATTATTATAAATAAAATGTCTGTAGCAAAATATGAACTGGTTTTTATCATCTAAAATCTTGAGTTGAAAATGCAGTACATATTTTGTTACTACATGTTTAGTTTGTACTGTAATAATAAATGTCATGATGTGATGTTTTTTTGTATTCACTTTTGCTTTCAACTGCAATATTTCATATTGTCTTTAAAAAGTCCATGACATTTGTTGAATATCCACGTATTGTTCTTATGCACATCGTTTATTATGAGGAAGCGTTTCAGTCCAATTTCTTCCTAAATCCACCAGCACAACAGATGGCTTCAGCCATGAGGAGAGCAGACAACAAACGCACTGATTTTTATTTTCATCAAGTGATTAGGTGATTGAGGTTACTGATTATGTAAATGCCATTTAGTTCTCAAGGACAACTACTCGAAATACAATCACGCACTGATAATTTAATAGCAGGCTGAGAGGAGTCACGCGATGAGAAACGTGACACAAAGACAGGGAGGACGGCAGAAAACACAGACCTTTCCACGGTCAAAGTTCTGGACGATGGTGAGGTGCAGATACTCCTTCCTCTGCCACTCACTCTGCATCGGGTAACTCAGAAACTCCCGCAAGGGTCTCTCAGACCATTCCAACAGCTCGTCGTACAGCAGAAGTGTATATGAGGCCTCTGCACACATAAACACGTCATCAAAATATATCTGTTAACCGTATCTTCAAACTACTTCTGGTTCACGTCATGCTTGAGTACCTGTGTAATTCTGCGCTTTCAGATGCAGGTCATACAGCTTGTGAATGTAGCGGATGTACATTTCCTCTTTATTCAGCTCTGTTTTGTAGAAGTTCTGTGGAAAAGAGACAAAGAGTGGTGGAGTGTGGATATGAAGTGCTTCAAGTGCTTTTCGGCACTGCTTTTCACTGTCAGTCTGGTTCCTATGAACGAATTCATATGGATAAACCAAGGAGACTTGGAGAAGAAGTGCAGAAAGCAGGAAATCACTCCACAATACAGCCCTCAGCACTGAAAGACTAGTGCTTCCACCATGAATTAAAGCGTCTAAATCACTTCCCGTGTTAACACACAAACATTTAATCTAAAAGACAAAGACAAATAATGCCACTAAAGATTATACTTAAACATACCAGCAGACTGACTGTACAGCCAATCTTTTTTCCATCCACTTCCCCCAACTTCATACAGTCTCTGTAAAACACAAAGAGTGTAATTTTGTATCTATGAGCCAAAAAAGGCCATGAACAAAAACATAAGACACATCGTTCATGCATTTATTATAGACCGGAGGATTGCATAATTGCAATTTTAAACACCAATTTTAAAAAAGCACCAAACTTGGGTGTCCTTTTTACTACTTCTACCATAATCCACATTCAAATCTGACCTCATAAAATGTTCAAAATGTGCAGCAATTGAAATTCAGATGGGAATCAAACAAGACAGTCACACACAAACACAATCAGAGACTGACCCACAGATGTATGAGAACTGACCTGCCACTAACTTACCGTCTTCATCGCTTTATGCTAATCTAACCACTGCTCTCTAAACCAAATGCGCAGTATGTGTTTTTATAGCTGTTTGTGTATGTGTCTCTCACTCACATGCTGTTGAAAAGCTCTCTGTACGTTTCGTCTCCTTTGCCCTCTGACATGAGGCTGTCCAGCTTGTCGATTAGTTTTGCCTCCACCTATTACATATAATGAAAATATGGCAAATGTGGCATTATGCACTAGACAGATAGCTGCATGTCCCATTAGTGACCAGAAGGGGGCGCTGTGTGACCTGTTTGAAGTTGCCGCTCCGGCGCTGCTCCCAGTCCATCATGTCGTGAAAGATGAATGAACAAAAACATAAGACACATCGTTCATGCATTTATTATAGACCGGAGGATTGCATAATTGCAATTTTAAACACCAATTTAAAAAAAGCACCAAACTTGGGTGTCCTTTTTACTACTTCTACCATAATCCACATTCAAATCTGACCTCATAAAATGTTAAAAATGTGCAGCAATTGAAATTCAGATGGGAATCAAACAAGACAGTCACACACAAACACAATCAGAGACTGACCCACAGATGTATGAGAACTGACCTGCCACTAACTTAGCGTCTTCATCGCTTTATGCTAATCTAACCACTGCTCTCTAAACCAAATGCGCAGTATGTGTTTTTATAGCTGTTTGTGTATGTGTCTCTCACTCACATGCTGTTGAAAAGCTCTCTGTACGTTTCGTCTCCTTTGCCCTCTGACATGAGGCTGTCCAGCTTGTCGATTAGTTTTGCCTCCACCTATTACATATAATGAAAATATGGCAAATGTGGCATTATGCACTAGACAGATAGCTGCATGTCCCATTAGTGACCAGAAGGGGGCGCTGTGTGACCTGTTTGAAGTTGCCGCTCCGGACTTGTCATTGAGGAAGCTTTTTCTTAAAGCGTCTGACAGGTAGAGTACCGTGGTGATGACGATGCTGTAAATCAAACATTTCAGATCACAATTCATACTCTTAAAACCAAAAACTGCAGGGGAATAAAGTCTCTAACTTGTTAGTGACGAGCCGCATGAC